ATATTTCTTTTTTTTTTTTTTTTTTTTTTTACACTGGTTTTGAATTTAATCCGCGCGGATTATTATGCAATTCAACGAGAACATTTTCGCGGATTTTCATCAGCATTTTTCCTGGACAATAGAATAAACTCCCGAAAAGGGTTCCTTTGAAATAATTCAGGAAGTGGGACGCTGCACTTTTTTCTCGGAAATTTCCAGCGAAGAGTGACAGTGGTCTTCAAATTTTTTACTAAGTGACTTTTTAGTTCGTTTACAAAGGGGCGAGTTTAAAAATTGAACGTGGTCTTTACCCTATAATGCCCCACAAAGTGTGAAGCCTAAAAGTAACGCTCGATTTTACGTGGAATCACTGAAAAAAATCAGTACAATTGTTCCAAGAATGGGAAAAATTTGCTCTTTCCGAACACCGAAAAATCAGTGTAATCAGTGAGGATATATGAAGTTACGTCAGAAGATTCCTTTCGGGTTCATTCAGGCGTGAAGACGGAAAAAAAATCTTTGAACTATTTTCGTGAGAACAAAAGAATTAAATTCGAAAACAACACAAAATGTAGGGGAAAGTTTGAGAAAATTCATCACATTTTAAAGCTTCATTTGATTTCAGGCACCGAGTAAATATTCAATGCCTCGGGGGTCACACGTGAATTTATTTTTACTTTTTCCAGAAAGGAATATGAAATAAAAATGTTTTAAGAAATCAGAAGTGGATGTACAATCATGGCGGAGTCGCAAATTTTGAACATTGCCACGCTGAAAACTCTGCCTAGAAGATCATCCGTTGGTAAGAAGAATCCATTTCCAACAAAATTTACTCATTCTCTTTCTTCGTGCTTGAAAAAAATACATGATGAATCAGCTCAACATTCCCTCATCTTCATTTGAAGAATGTGCACCTGCAAAACCAATTTTTCTCACATTTTACCTGAGTAATGTAGAGCAAAGGCAGACTGTTGAAAGTGCGGCCGGTTTTTTTTTTTTTACCATACTTGACACATTCGCAAAACGTTTCGACGTTACGTCACGAAAAGTATTTCAAATCATTAGAAAAATCGTCGTTTAGTTTCAAAGAATAATTCGAATCCATGAAGATTTTACGAACCTTGACTGTCTCCACATTTCTGACTTTTTAAAATTTTAATGGTGTCAAAAAGGCTTTTATAAACAAAAACCTAAACTGTCTCATCCAAGTCTCAGTTATTTAACAGATTTAGTACGTAGAAATTTCAAGCCTTCGAAGAAATGTAGAAATATAATATAAAAATAAAAAATATCCTTAAAATATTATTCCCAAAATATTCTTCAGAAGTATTGCAAAAATAATTCAAAGATTTTAATTTTCCTTTTCAAGATTTCCTCAAGGCAGACGTAGTGACAATCGGGCCTTTGAAGATGCTTCTGGACGTGCCAATTTTGTGCAAACGCGTGGAACTCGCAGACGAGTCTGGCAAAATTTCCCTCTGTTTCTTGGGACCCTCTGCCAAATCCTTCGACGAATGGTTCCCGGAAGTGAAAGCAGGCAAATTTTTGAAAATTCGGAACTTGGTCACAGATTTAGAGCTTTCAGCTGACCGGAAATTGACCACGCCGTGTTTGAAACCCGCTGGGAACATGACAATAACAGGTAAAGTTCTTTTCTTTTTCAGAATGATTTGCCAATTATTTTAATTAATTTCAAGTTAATTCCAATTTTTAAAAATGACGCGAACAATAACATAGATGAAAGAGATTAGGTTTGAATGCAGTCAACCCTCGACTTATTGCCATCCTCGTACACTGAAAAAATCCCACTGGAAAAGCTCTCCTTCTATTTTTGTCAGGGGAAACTTCACTTTAGTGCCACCTCACATAATGCCAAAAAAAAAGAATTCCTCATCTTGAATGAAAAATGAACCAAATTCAAAGAAATTTTAATATAAATACCCATGAGTTATCAGCGAGAATCACGCGCCAATGCCCACACGAAAATCCAGGATAATGTTGAACACGTTTCTTTTCAATTTAAACAATTGAAATTTTTTCTGCTTAATATCTTCCTTAATTGGAAATTTTTAGATATATGAAAAATTTTCCAGAAATAGTGGGAATTCCTGCATGAAGTCCTCTGATACATACCTGCAACATAAATTCTGGAAAGCTATAAGGAATATAAACTTCATGTTCCTGAAGTTGTCAGATCTAGATTAAGAATACCTCACAATGGTAAGTATTCCAGAGTAAAGACTCAGGAGATGTCTATAGAAGTTTATATCTATGTCCATCTTCTAATTAAGGTCTGATAACAACTTTTCGGTCCAAAATTGAGTAAGACTGGTCAAACCCAGATCTGACCTTGTTCAGAGAAGAGTTCCATTACTTAGTGGCATGTCATTAAGAACAAGAAAGTATGGAAACACACAACTTCTCCAAGCATTGGCTGCTACCAATAAGGAATGATAGAATAAGTTTGATGACACTTCTTGATTTCTCAGCGTCAGGAGAAGTAGTTTTCAAAGAAAACTATATTTTCATTCCAGTGGTGGAAAGAGGAGAACCAATGGAACCCGCACAAGAAGAGCCCCATCTATCCTACACATGGTCAAATTGCAGTCTTACTTCCGGAAGTACTAGCACAGCTGAACTGGGTCACCCAAATGACCTGATCTCTGAGGCATACTTTGATGGCACAACACGAACAACAGCTGAAGTAGCCACTTTGACAGATGTCACTTCAAGCAGGTCATTGACCTTCGAGAGAATATCTGCAAAATTGGACCTCATTAATGACCCGGAAGTGGAGTTGGAGATTCTCAAACGGATAGAAAAGCTAGTGGACGATTCCGGGCGTCAACTGCATCATGTGTGATACTGAAAAAAAAAATTAGAATAAAGAAAATCCACGAGAAATAGCATTGTTTTAAATTTAAGATGAAACTAAATTATTTTACTGAGTCAGTCAAGGTGACGCACGACGAGTTTCAACTGGCATTTTGTCTCCCTCAGTGGCTAAATTTTTTCCATCGAAATCATCGTATCAATTTTCATTTTCCTTCTGATCTTGATGATCAGGAAATTGATACGATTTTTAACCCAAGAACACGTGGAAACATTATCCCGACAGCCATTCATTAATCAGAAATGAATAATTTCCTTCGAGCACTTTATTCCCCCAAAGCTTTTTTATTTTGAAATATTTTCGACACCATTCATGTGCACTGCAATAAAAAAGGTTCAAATGAAGAAAACGTACTCTTAATGCTTTGCTGGAATACTTTCGTCCCACAGAAACGCACAATTTTATAATTGCAATATTCTGGGAGGGTGTTTTGGGACAGCTTAGATTTTAAAATTTTGAGGGAAATAATTTTTTTCATTGCTCAGAAATTGGTTTCAGAAATAAAGGAGATTTCGGAACAGAGGTGTTCTCTCTATGCAACAGTTCACTCATGAATGTGTTTTTGTGAGGATAGATGTCGCTAAGGATCCATTATTTGAATTTCGAATGAATTTTTTTTTGCTCCATCAGTTATATTAATAGGATTTTTTGGAAAATTTATAAGAATGATGGGAAAGTTTTTGACATTACTCGTGCTTTCAGAAATTCACCTGCATAAAGGCTAATCAATTCCAGTTTTTAGCTTTCATTATACTAAGGTAATGTTCAACGAAATAAAAATATACCTTTTCTAATTAGTCAGTAATGATTTTCCAAAAACATAATTCATCATATTTCTTCGACATCTCAAGTGTAGTGACTCGAAAAAAATCACTTCGATTTCCGGATGAAGCCTTTTCGGATTCAGCAGAGAGAAAATTTAATAAAATTAAAATTAGAATACGCGAGAAAATGACGCAATACAGACCTTAGATCCGGGTTTTTCAGTATTTTCACAACTTCAAAAAATAATAAATTGTCAGATTTCATCCTTGACACGTACAGCTGGCTGTGGTTTCGAATAGAGTACCGACAAGATTAATTGTTCTGCTGGGCGTTGTCTTATTTCACATCAGAGAAAAAAAAAGGAATAAAATAAAACCCGATTGTATATAGAGTATACCCTAGAGTTGCTTAAAAAAAAGTGTTCGAGTTGTGCAACTTGGGATGTTGCTGAAATGCTCAACAAACCGTGAAATCCAAGTCAATTTTCTGACCCTGGACTACAATCCACTGTACACTGTTTTTTTTTCGTCGCTGGTGAGAAATGCTTTTTCAAATATCGCAATACTCGCTGGCACATTGCAAATATTTCAGAAGCATTGAAGATTTGTACGCAATTTCACCAGTGACAGATTCCATGAACTATACTTGAATGAAAATGTATGTGGTGCCCCGGTTAATGGACTTCATCCATTATAGTATTACGGGAGTAAATCTTTTTTTTTTCTCGAATATTTACAGAAATGTCGAGCATTCACGTAGATATAATGGACATGAATTCCATTCCTGATCCATTCTATGCAGTACATTATTTCTTGATTCAACTACGGTAATTAATATTTCTGCGACGCATAATATCAAGAAATACTGCAATTCCTAAAATATAGGAAAGCAATACCCAAAAAGAGATATACTGTACAAATGATGAAAAAGTACTGTAATTATACACTGGACTTCGAAGTCCCGATATATATAATTTTTTGGCCTTTTTAGTCTTACTTGAAAAACGTGGTTTTTTAGATTAATTTTTTAATCTACTATAATTATTTTTTTTCCATTGTGGTCAGTAGATGGATTAATTTGGTTGTACCATTCAAGGAGAAAGGGGATTTGGGCACCAGCCTCAGGAATGTGCGCCAGGCGCCATGGCACAAGACCCCTGAAATTGTGCATGAAGTTGAAGGGTATTTTCAAAAGGGTATTTTCTGTCTATGTGACTTCAACGTACAAGGAATACAGTTTGGTTATTTATCCACAAAACATGAGAACATATCTTCAGCACAGGTCTGCTTTGATTGGTGTAAAAACAAATTGCATTGACCTTGCCCCAGTTCCAACATTTGATGAATATAATTTAAATGGAACTCCTGGTTGAAGAAGAGGAAAATTAAAATGTTTTGTGTTGTATTTGTGTACCTTCTGTACATATATTTTGTGTTGTGCTTGAATTATTGGCGGACCTTTGTTATATGCACTTTGTGTTGTACAGTCCTTGTGATAATTGGCATGGAATTGGAGGTGGATCATGAACAAATTAGTACAGTCCGGGGCTGAAGGAAGTGTCATACAAACATGGTAAAAGAAAATATTGATGACAATAGGATATTAAAGAAGGTAATGAAAGGTCCCAAAAAACAGAGCATGGTTAGGGATGTACCTGCAAATTAGAGAATGAACGGAGCAAAAACGGACCCCCTCCCAGACTTCTGGGGAAGGACCAGACGGTTTAATCCTTTTGGGTCGGTCAATGTGGGATAAACTAGTAGGAGACCATTCCTAGTACCGAAGTCGAATCGTCCTTATGATGGGGCGTCCGCATGTCAGAGTCTCACTCATCAGTTGGGGATGCAACAGGAAGTGAAGGAACGAGAAAGAATCCATCTAATTGAGAAAGGTGACATATCTTGTAAGCACATTTTAACTGCTCCAGTAAAAAAGAAATCAGAAAAGCAATTGTAAAATAAAAAACGCAGATTATCAATCGGGGAAAATGGTTCCACACGCGAAAAGATTTTGCAATTCCTGATCTTCAACAACATGGAAAAAAACACACTGTGTTGTTGGTCTTACATCGGAATCGATTTTTGGGCGAATTTCTCCCTGAAAAAATTTGGCTGCCTGTCTTGTGGTATTCAAGTGAGTGCAGTAACATATATCTTTGAAGATGGAATAAATGCTGGAAAACAAAATCAATGTCACGTCTTATCTTCCAGGATGAGTTTGATAAACAACCAAAATAAGGCTGTATTCTACGCCGTCTTTTCGTTTTTTGTGTTCATATGGAATTTCGGAAGTCTCCGAGAATATTTCAGTACGAATTCGCGAGAGTCATGCAATATCCAAATTTTGCGTGCCATGATGATTGAAAATAGACGAGGAGAAAGGGAAGAATTTCCTTATGATAAGACAAATAAAGGTTCCAGTTTTTATGATGCATCACTTGGGTAGGCTTTCAGGAGTATGTACCCAACAGGTTCCAGGATGCTGTTCATGCTAGCCAGCCATTGAGAACGTGAAATTGTAGCATTTGCTCCAATCTCCATCAATATAACCTATACATCAGGAACACGAAAAATTTATACATAGTCTCACGATGTCCATGCTTCTTAAATTTTTCTTTCACCTTGATGTCAACAGAGTTCCAGTCCATGGACTTCATCACATCCAACTCAATGAACTGTATATCCAATGAGAGGAAATCTCATTCGTTGTGGTTTGTTGCTTTCAGAATGTCCATAAATGGGAAGCACAACCTGGGAACTACAGTGTAATTTGCATTCTTCACTGGATACCCTAGTTCTCCCATCAATGTTGCTGATGCAGGAAACTGCGGGTCCAAAGGCAGTGACATGTTGTACTAAAACCCATGGAAGAGACACATTTCTGTCACACATTCCGAATTTCCAAAAATTTGCCTGCTTTCACTTCCGGGAACCATTCGTCGAAGGATTTGGCAGAGGGTCCCAAGAAACAGAGGGAAATTTTGCCAGACTCGTCTGCGAGTTCCACGCGTTTGCACAGAATTGGCACGTCGAGAAGCATCTTCAAAGGCCCGATTGTCACTACGTCTGCCTTGAGGAAATCTTGAAAAGGAAAATTAAAATCTTTGAATTATTTTTGCAATACTTCTGAAGAATATTTTGGGTATCCATTTCTTCGAAGGCTTGAAATTTCTACGCATCTGTTAAATCACTGAGACTTGGATGAGTGAGTTCAAGTTTAAGTTGATCAAAGGCTTCTTGGCATCATTAAAATTTGAAAGAAAGGTCAGAAATCTGAAAACAGTCAAGGTTTTTAAAATCTTCATAGATTTGAATTGTTATATTTGAAATACTATTGAAAAGAAGATTTTTCGAATGATTTGAAACACTTTCAGAGTTTTCGTGACATAATCGAAAAGTTTTGCGAATGTGTCAATTATGGTAAAAAATCGGCCGCACTTTCAACAATCTGCCTTTTATTTACATTACTGAGGTAAGATGTGCGAAAAAGTGATTTTGCAAGTGCATATTCTTGAAATGAGGGACTTTTGAGCTGATTTTCTTGTATTTTTTATACATGAAGAGAAGGTTATTTTGTTGAAAACTGATTGTTCTTACCAACGGATGATCTTCTAGGCAGAGTTTTCAGCGTGGCAATGTTCAAAATTTGCGACTCCGCCATGATTGTACATCCACTTCTGATTTCTTAAAACATTTTTGATTTCATATTCCTTTCTGCAAAAAATAAAAATAAATTTACGTGCGACCCCCGAAATATTGAAAATTTAATCGGTATCTGAAATCAAATGAAGCTTTAAAATGTGATGAATTTTCTCAAACTTTCCCCTACATTTTGTGTTGTTTTCGAATTTAATTCTTATGTTCTCACGAAAATAGTTCAAAGATTTTTTTTCCGTCTTCACGCCTGAATGAACCCGAAAGGAATCTTCTAACGTAACTTCATATATCCTTACTGATTACACTGATTTTTCGGTTTTCCGAACGAGCCATTTTTTGCCATTTTTGGAACAATCATACTGAATTTTTTTTTGTATGAGTACATGTAAAATCGAGCGCTAATTTTAGGCTTCACGCTTAATGGGGCATTAGGGTAAAGACCACGTTCAATTTTTAAACTCGCCCCTTTGTAAACGAACTAAAAAGTCACTTAGTAAAAAATTTGAAGACCACTGTCACTCTTCACTGGAAATTTCCGAGAAAAAAGTGCAGCGTCCCACTTCCTGAATTATTTTAAAAGAACCCTTTTCGAGATTTTCTTCTTTTGTCCTGGAAAAATGCTGATGAAAATCCGCGAAAATGTTCTCGTTGAATTGCATAATAATCCGCGCGGATTAAATTCAAAACCAGTGTAAAAAAAAAAAAACTCGGAAGTATTTTGACTCCAAAGCTTCCTCCATCCCGACAGAAAATCACTTCATTTTTTCTTACCCACTCACTCCCATTCCCTGATAAATTATGACTCGTGTGCGGGGGTGGAAAAAATAAAAAGAAAAATTATTTCTTGTTTCCAACTTCGTCCAATTTTATCACCGTGGAAGCACGGGAAGGATGAAGTGGTTATTTTTTTAATCCCAGAAAAAGAAGGGGGGGGGGGGAGTTGATTGGAATATTCCGCACAATTACTTTATCCCCTCGATCCAGGCTCGAAAAGAAACAGGCGATTTTCGCGTCACCGAATGATCCAATGTCTCCCTGAAACTGGTTTTGAAAATACTGGAAATAACCGAGTTCTTTCGGGGACTCATTGGGTAGAATTTGTTTCGTCTGGATCGTGTTTCTCAAACTTGTTTTTGTCTTTTCGTGTGTTTCTCCCTGGGAGAATCACCGGTTAAGTCATGACCATGAGTAACATGATAACTTATCGCAGGGGAGTAGGATGTCGTAATCTGAGCATAACACCAAGGGTGTTATCGACTACGTGTTTCACCAGAGAAAAGCGCCCACTATTTTTTTATAATGAAAATGTCTGCTTTGTTCAAAGAAGTTATATTTTATTTGAACCTGATGGATAAATCGAACCTCCCGAGTAAGTTGAATACCTCCCTATCTGCGATTTTTTAAAAAGTTCCTGTCGGAATTTCTTGAAAATAATGTATTAAGAACCTGATAAGTCTAATTTTTCTGTTCGACCATGAAAGTTCAACGTGAAGAGGTTTGAATGTAGATGAAAAGCGAGAAAGAAACAGATATTTATTGAGAGTTCAAGTAAGAAATACTGAAAAAAGGCCATGGAATAAAAAATAACACCAATACTGTATTTAAAATAATAACATCATTTATTTATTCGGGGACCCTCATTTTGCCGAGTAAATTATACAGAAGAATTCGTTTCACATCGAAGCTTATTGAAATTTTGAAATCGTACAAAATTGTTCTCGTCAGCTTTTCGTGCCCAAATGTCGGCGGAAATGTTACCTTTACAAATGTACAATCAAAAAAAAATCGATGTGTTCAATCATGAATTACAGTATTATTAAAGCTGGAATTTTCAAAATTGTGACTGCGAGCGACACCTACCCGCTACTAAACGGTTTTCGCACTGTCAACCACCACAGAGTTAAAAGCGTGCTGTGACACATAATTGAGTGCAATTCTTTGTAACTTTTCAGCCACTCAGTATGCTTTCTCTCCACACTTCCTGAATATTTTCGAAAATTCTACGAAAACACCTTCTAAAGTTTTATTTTTCCTCCGACAGGTGTCACTCACAACTGACCACTGACCCATTGGATGAACGAAGCCCGCGGGTGAATCGTGGAAACCGTTGCACGATCACGACTTCTAAACCACGGACGCAAATTATTCCTACTCACTGAAGATGAAAATTTGAATTTCGGATTGACATTACTGCAAGACAGAAGTTAGGATGAACTGAGTCCTGCTTCTTCAGACCGAACATCAATAATACAGTAGAACAACTCGTCCATGAGCCGTGGCAGAAAATGGAAACAGGAGTGATGTGAAGCATCAGTATACAATATAGGATGCCATACCCTTCATACAGGGTTGCTGTGCAACTTGCATCACTGTACGTATGTGTCAGTGTGTGTGTGTTTTTTTTATTCAGTGAGTGCGAGGGAGAGAGTTCAGGTCATGTGGAATCATCCTCACTTCCGGTTAATCTTTGATGAGAGGTAAATAACAAAAATAATAAGCACGTGAAGTTTTCTAACCCTTGGGCGGCGAAGTTGGACTTTTTCCGCAAAATTTGGTGTCAGTGAGAGAAGCTTTAAAAAAAATCATAACAGTGCATCCAGGGCGAAGTCGGGAAAAATCCTGGCGTATTTTTTAAATACTGCAGAAAAATTTTGCCCAAAAATAAAAAAAAGCCATCTTCAAGGCTGAGCTTTTTTTCATCTCATCCCTGGATTAGTTATATTATTTTCAGCTTCTTGGCCCTTTCATTTTGGGCACCAGACGAAGGGTTCCCATTTAGAGGCCACAAAAGATTAGCGGAAAAAGTCCGACTTCGGGAAATCACAACAACACATTTTTGCCGGATAAAGTCTGACTTCGCCCTAGGCCACCTGGCTGGGCTTTCATGGCCTTCAACAAAATTTACACCTGATGGGCCCACCCGAGAATATCCGTACTTCGTCCTGCAATGGGAAAGGACCTGTCGCCGCGGAAGGGCTAAAGCTGAAGTGAGGTTTAGTTGTGGATGCGTTGAGTGCATTGAAAAAAAAAAAAAAACTATAAAGATTGTACAGGCGAATTTTTTTCTTTTTCGTGTGTTAAACTAGGCAAGATTAATTCTGAAACAGGTGAAAATTATTTGATGCGAAGGAAAACTTGAATTAGGTGAAAAACTAGCCTTGAATTTCCTAAAACCCTTCCGGTTATTGAGGCAAAACTGGTTTCTGACGTGCTTTTCGTCATTAAAATCGAACACCAAGATCCTGAGGAGGTTTTCGGTGGTCTTTTCAGTTGCAAATATTAACAGGAACAATTCTGGGCTTATAATTTTTCCCAAGTGCTTGATTTCAAAGATGTTTTCCTGGAGTTCATTCGACAAAGAGACAGGGGAAATGCTGAAATATTATCTGGTAACACTGGAGTACTGCTCTAAAAATTAAGTAGTTTTCCTTAGACTTTTCATAAGTTATGGTAAAGGCGTGTTTAACCAGGACAGGTTGAACCACTGTTGTAAGAAAGTGCCTTACGTTGTTTTCAGAGATAATTTTGAAATTCAAGACTATTTTTTTCGAGGATAGTCGCATGGAGTTCATCGAACTCAAAGAAAAAATACATTCTAAAAGGTAGTTGGGAAAGTTTCCATCAAAAGACACCCTGATCTGGGACAGTATTGAAATCATGCGATTTCTAAATTTAGAAGAGTGATTGTTTAAAAATTTCGGGAAGCACCGAAATACTGTACGGCAGAGTCTTGCCAATAAATGGAACATTATTTTTGCCAAAAGCGCGTGTAATTAGGACAACATTTCCAAACGCTCCTCTTTCAAATTCTGCGGAATAAATCTCAGGAAAAATTGCTCTCGTTTTTTTCTTATTAATAAAGTATTGATGTAATTTGTTTACTTCTTCAGCTGTTCTAATTAATGCGAAAAGGAGTAAAGAAACCATGTTTTTGCAGTTACTCTTTGGGAAATGAATATGTGTCATTGCCCTGACGTGAAACGTACACATGTTCTTCCAGCTCACCTGAGAACGGATGAAGCAGCAACAGAAACCAATGCCACACCTCTTTTTCTGAAAGCGACAAGGGAGATGTTTCCAAGCAGGAATACTTGGCCTTGAGCAATTTCCCTTCGGCCAATTATCTTCATGACCTCTGTGAGTGAGTAAGTGATATGTTCTTGGGTTAGAAAAAAAAATATTTCATCGAATTTTTTTGCCGCTTATTTTTCAACAGGAAGAAGTTCCAGAAGAGGAGTTGCTGTACCTTCATTGGCAACCATGTGGACCTGTCAGGGATTTTAGCCAAAGAAAGTGTTGTTGGATTGGCACAAATTCAATTTTTCAATCAGACCTGGGAGAAGGCTGGAAATACTTGTTGAAATATTTCCAAACAAACATTTTTTGTGGAAGAATAAGTCCCAAGAAATTGCTCAGAGAATTCACGAGTGAAAGTGCACACATACTTCACAAACAAAATTACTGCAACAATTCTAACTACAGTAATATTTCTTTTTGGAATGTTTGTTAATGCATTTTTTGGCAACCTTCGACAGGTTAGTGCTTTTCAAACCACTGGATACCTGATCTCTGATGTATTTAACTGGCTCAAAGCTTTTGAGTTTAATATTTATTTTTATTTTCCCCCACTTTTTCAAGGAATGGGTTCTATGAAATCGTGTAGTGTATTATTTCGTTTTAATTTATTTTAGTGTTTGTCAATTCAGAATATCCCCATTTTTGTGTGTGATGGTAATTTCCAGTGTTCTGTCCTGAAACTTGGAAGCTTGGGCTCTGAAAATAAATGTCCATTGATCATGTTTTGTCTTCTTGCCAACTGAAAAAAAAAATTTGTCTCCGTGACACAGTATAATTAATGATTTTTATTGATTTCATCAGGTATTTGGAGATTTATTTTTTTCTAGTACGGCGCGGCTGCAAAAGGCCGACTTTTCAGCCAAACCACATACTTTTTCGCAGCAGAAGAAAGTAAGTGAGCTCTTCTGAAACTTTTACTGCATAAGCTGTACACGCTTTTAGACAGAAAGTGCTTGGAAAAAGGTGAATGTTCGTTTATAATTGAGAAAACAATCCAGTCATCAAATTGTAGAACTTGAATGTTTTTTCTTTTTGGCCTTGGGGATTTTTGGGAGCGAAATCTTCAATGAATACTTTTTGACATGACAAAGAGACTCTCCATGTGTTATTGTTGCTCAGATGGTGGAGCTGAATGTGTGCATTTGGCGGAGGAAATCGAAGGCAATCAGGATGCTCTTCAAAGCTTAGAACTATTAACACAAAGCTTAGAACTATAAAAAAGTATGCTCTTTTCAAAATGTCACCTAGGTGTTTTTTATGGATTATTGGATTATTTTCAAAATCTTCTCATCATGGTGAAATGTACAAGGAAAAAAATAATCTACACTTCACGTTAAGAGAGCTCCTCCTTTCAAACGAAGACCTACTACTACTTGGAAAGGTACTCCTGTTACTGCATGTGCTTAGCCAAGTTTCGGGACAGCGTTAAAGACTTGAAGAGCGGAAATCAAGATTCAGGCACCGGTTTGCCAAACGAAATCTTGTGCCAACTCCAGCAGTGGTTGAAGGTAAATTATTCGAGTGGATAATTTTGAACGAAAATTGTGAAGATAAAATAGAACTTCACAGGAAAAAACAGGAAAATATCCTTACGAAGATTATCGCTATAACAAATGATCAATTATACAACGGAGTCGTTTTATAGGTGTCACCCGATAGCCAAAATATTAAATGAGTTACTTTTCAACGAATTTTCCTTATCAAAACAATGCTGTTTAACTTTTGATGACTTTATTTCACAAAGGGAGAGATTTATGCAATTTACCATTGACACCAAAATCGTGTTACAACAAAGCTACTGATGGTCCCATAATAGCTTTGTTGTGACCAGATTTTACTGTGTATGTAAATGCAAATTGTGTAGCTCTCGCACTCTGTGAAAATAAATGATAATCACATTTCTCAGAATTATCCCTTTAATTTTGTTCCTTTTCTGGCCTATTTTTGATCAACTTTGTACAGTACAGTTTTTGATCAAAGGCATTCCACTAATTTTCATTTCTTCCTTCCACCTCTAGTTCGGTGAAAACCACCAATATCTGACCCTATATGACGTCTTTGACGTAAAAGATTTTATGGTAACTAGTCGAACTAGGAGAAAATAAAAGTACCTTTTATTAAAGTTTTTTTCAACTTAATACTGTTTGGCCCATTATACTGACCACCGACCTGAAGTCCTCAAGAAGTAAAACAAAAAATGCATAATCCATGCAAGAAATCAAATTTAAACATATGACCTTGAGAACCGCTAAATACTGGCTAAATTTCCTAAAATCTGAACATAAAATTGAATTATATGTGGTTAGAAATTGACAGTGTTTTGTCTATGGCGTCTATGAGGCAGTACTTTCCTGATGAATCTATAGATTGATATTCATGCTGGAATATTGGTGCTGTAGGAATGTTCAAGCAAAATTTATTTTTTCTACAGGTATGAGTGACATCTATTATTCAGAATTGCAAGTATGCCATCTATCCCAAATGATTGACGCTGGGATTAATCAGGAATATTCATGGCTCTTGTTGCAGATCATGGATTAATGTGGGCCAGTATCCGACCAATATACGTGAATGTTGCACAATGGAATTTGCAGACAGTCTCTGAAGAGCATCAGGGGACGTGCAATGGAAAGCATGACAGAAGCTTGCCTGCTGACTTTTTGATATTCAAAAAGGATCTTCACAGTCCTTGTATGGTATTTTCCACCAGCTGGAATAAATCTCCATGTCATGCATGCTATGATACCCTTATCCATGCCATTTCAAAGGAGAAAGTGAAGGTTAAATTGAAACCTTTGATGCTTGAAGAGCAGCAAATTGTTCCTGAGTCTTCTGACAAAGGTGAGCTAAGATAACCCTTATATGACCCGAGAAAATGCCAAACTTAAGATTTTACCCATGATTTTCTTGCAGTGTTGTATTTGCAGGGCTTTTTTTTATGATCTGCTTGATTGCTTAAAAATGGTAAGCAATGAAACAAATTTATAGCATATTTAGAGCTGCTTCATCAATACTCTTACACAAAGCTTAGAACTATAAAAAGCATGCTCTTTTCAAAATGTCACCTAGGTGTTTTTTATGGATTATTGGATTATTTTCGGAATATTCTCATCATGGTGAAATGTACTTCCTCTTTTTATTAGATGTGAAGTGCAATTCTCCCGAGGAGGAAAGTTTGCTTCTGGATGAGGATGAACCTTTCCATGAGGATCCGGATACTATGGATGAATCGGATGATAGACCTGATCCGAACAGCATAATTGAGTTCGACTTTCAGGGTAAGAATTTTAAAGGAACAGATTTCCTTCGTTTCTTGGGTGATGAAGCTTACAAATTTCCGAAATGAATCCCGCTAATCGAGATGTGGTGCAGTAACTTAATTTTCCATCTCTTTCATGAAGCTGTCGTTCCTGACGTCACAGGGCAGAGTGCTGCTGTGGGAGAGAATCCGATGAACATTTTGGAAAGTCAATTAGAATTCAAGCTTTCCTTCCCGGAGTTTTCTGGAGAAGCGGAGATGAAGGAATGTGAGTGTGATTCATTCATTATTTTCTACAATTACAGAAAATCCTAACTTAACTCTGGATGAGACTCTTTAACTTTTTAAATTACCGATAAAACACAGAATATTATAAATCTAGTCAAGTTTAATTTGCTCTGAAAAATCAATTAAGGAAACTGAGTTCTGGTCATTGTTTTATTGTCAGCATTATTTATTTATTTATTCCTCACTGCAATCATGGAGTAGCTTCACAATGTTATTCACATCCTCAAAACTTTGAAGTCTCCCAAGAAATTCAGCACAGCATGATGGAGTGCGTGTTATGAAATTTTCCTAAATTTTAAAATATTGTAGATGAGTTTTCGCTCGAAAGCTGTCTTCGTGTAGATTTTTTTTTTCAGGAAGAGAATCAACTGAGGAAATTCCTGGGTACATGTTTTATTAAAAGTGATGCATATATCATGTACCAAGAGGTATAAAAAAGTGAGCACTTGTAGCGAGAGAATGGTTAAAAGGAATTTAAATTGTTTTTTTTTTTAAATAAAATTATGCAGTCTTGTGTGGATTTCAAGGGTAAGTTTTCTTGGGAATGTCCTGATGAAGAAGAGTGCTCACTTTTAAGGTTTTTTTTAAAATTCATATAAATTTTTTATGTAATGTTTTTCTTTCCCCTTGAAATTCATGAAATGCTAACTTGTTTTGACTACCACTTTTTGCTTTTAACTGACTTACTTTTCAGGACTTATTGTGACTTGGCATTTAACTTTTCTGTATCATAAAACCATCCTCGACTCTTCGAAAGACACATGAACGCCATGTTCAATTACAACACCGCAAAATAAGTGGTGATACGTATTGCATAATTTAAAAAAATCTAATAAATTAATTGACCATACTAAAATCGTTGTGTGTAAATTTTTTTAAACCCAGGTTTTCTGTCATTTTTCAGATGCTCCGGATTATTTTGATGATCTCGGAGAGACTTTTGAAGCCTTGAGCAGACCGGCATCCCCTGCAAGCCATGTTTCCCCGAATGATGATGAGATTGATGATACTGAGGTGGATGAACTGGCCGGGTTTAACTTGCCGCCACCAGAACATATTGCATCTTTTGCTGTTGACCCAGCATTTCCCGAGGCTGAGGTCACGATTGACACTCAAAGTGAGTTTCATTTGTTTATCATAGTATTCATCACAAATATTCAGTGAATGCAGTATGTAATCATATACAGGTGGTACCTTGCAATTTGACCCTGTTACATTGCCAAACTAGGGTCGAAGTGCAAAACAGTCAAATTGTGAGACACTCCATGAAATTCAAAAATAAAAGAACAAAAAGGCAAAAAAAAGTGGCCAAAGCAGGTCAAATTGTAAGACAACCTCTGTGCAAATTTGAACTTCAAATTGTGGGAGGTCAAAATGCAAGGTACCACCTGTACATGCATGGTTTTAACTGATGAGTGATGTCACAGAAGTGCATTCATATCACATGTGTAATGCAGAAGCAGGCTTCCCTAGTGTGAAAATCTTGGCCCTAATAGGTTATACATCAAACAAAATAAGAGAAGATAATATTGCAACTGAATTTTTCCTTATTTATTCTTTGTTCAAGACATGGATCTTAGGCTTCACATAGGATCAAGCAAAGACCCAGAAAAGAATGTCAACCCATGCTTGTTGCTGTAAGCTCCTCCATGAAACAGTCTCAAGTAGATCTTGTCCCCAGGGACCAGTTTCAGCACTGCAGTAGTCACTCCAAGACTGTTGGGGTACCCACTAGAAATGGCTCCATTAACACTGTTGTAATTCTTTATGAGATAAATATCTGTCCCTCTTCCTGTGTCTGGTGAAGCATGGATGTACTGGAAATGGAAAGAATAAACCCCACCAACTGGTGCATGGAAGATTCCAGTCTTCAGATCCATGCCTCCACCAACACTTGTTAGCACCCCATCAAACGCCACCCTCTGAAAAGTCACACACCACCAAAAAAAAGAAGCGATTCCTGTAAGATTCTTGCAACAGTTTGCAAACTCACTTCAGATCTCAGGCTGAAAGGATGTCTTCTATAGACGTGGAAGTGGACTGGACTTGAAGCCATGGCTGGTCCAGCTTTGACAGGGGTAGCCCTTTTGTTCACTTCTTTGCTCATGTCACAGTATTGCCTTTTAAACCTAGAATTGAATTTTGAATTTAAATTGAGCTATTTTCTGAATGGGTGGAGGCTCAAGTGATGATGAGTGCTACAAACAAGACAACTGACTGTCAGGCATAATTGAGCATCAGAGACCTGACTTTGGCAATTGCTTTGTCTTCAAATTTAACTTCTAAGTTACTGTATTTTTGTGAAATAGTTGATCCAAATTGTTATCTCATACAATAATTAATTCTTTGACAGCATTTCATTCTTTTACTGGTGAACATAGAGCATTAAATTACATACAATACTTCAGCTTTTCTATAATATCTTCAAAGTTGTGTGCATGGTGCCCAGGTGTGGCTGCATTTCCTAGCTTGGATTTTTAACAAATAAAATCCCCCAGCCAGTTGTGGCTCACCAGGCCACAATTGGTGCATTGAACACAAGTGCAGTGGTCCTTCAATGTGTGACCAGTGCCAATCATTCATTTTTAAGCCTTCTGCATAAATTTTATCAGGATACCCAGCTAGTGGCTGGGTACCCCTCTTACACATATGTGACCTGTTCTTAAATAGAGAAAAATTTTCTTATGTATAAATTGTCCAATGCCCAGGTGTGGCTTGGCACCCCAGCTTGTTTTTCTATGGAAGTAAATATAAAGGAATAATCAATATTTAATATATTTATCAATATATAATCAATATTTTACTTGAAATCTATCAAGAAAACTGAAGGAAGAATAATATCTTCAAGCAAGGATGGATCTTTAGAGGGCAGTTTCAAATTAAGGTTAGGTGTCTAATGCTCATTATGTGTTTGGCACTTGGCTGTTATTTCACTTGGACCATGGCAAACTCATGGAAAAGCTGACATATTTACACATTGTTGTGCTTGGTCCAATGGTAGCCATCATTCCTGATGCCAACATCATAGAGAGAGTCACAAGAGGTCAGGTCTGGGTGAGTGATGCTTCTTTTGCCTCTGCATTTCACTGGTCCTACCATATGCTTCCCATGGTTTTCTTTTGTAGTTTTCACTTCAGTGATGGGAAGTGGGTGGTCTTCATGTGACAATAAGTGAATCCTTGTCACTCCCTCAGATGAATTATGGTTATTCAGTGGCTTCATAGTACCACTTCTGTCAATCCACCAAGAAAAAGCAGGTTCCTCTTCATCTAAGAAGGGTTTGGATGACACCTAAGATGGTAGTAGAGTTTTTTTGTAAACCAATGATTTGGTTTTTTTTTAATCATCCCACTCACTGTCACTTCTTGATGGCAACCTTCAGACAACTTGGACAAAGCTTCAATCTGTCCATGAGGAACATTATAGTTGAGTTTACTGGAGTGATAGTCACCTTCTGTGTCAGGTTCAAATTGTAGTTCATCCAACTCAACTCCCATGTGTGGGATGAATGTTTCTCCTTTTGAAGAAAATTTAAGAATTTAAAAATGCAAAAATATTGTACAATCATTTATTTGAAATTCTTACCTTCATTTTCCATGTCACAGAAGACCTCAATTGGGTCATGCAGACCTGAATGGCCATCAGGGTCAATGGTGTGCTTCCCTGACTCCCTAACCCCAAGGGAGAACAGGTCATGGCATGTTTTTGGCACTAAATTATTGCAAAAAAGATTTCTTGAACATTTTCCAAAGCACTTATGCAGTTTGCATTCAACCTGTGTCTTTGGTGATGACCTCCAGGTACTCCAACCTTGTCTTCAAATCATCCAAAATGTTCTCATCCTGCAAGTCCTTCACTTCTAACAATGAGTCAACTATTTCAGACCTGTTCAGCTCCAGTTCTTGAATGTAAACATCCTGAAGAAGTCCTTTTGTTTCTATTTGTTCCACTTGTTGAAGAAGCAAACTCAATTTTCCATCACCATCAGGGGTCTGGATTTGTGACTGGTCATTTTGAATTGGATGTAAGGAAGGAGCACTTGTTATCAGAATTGAAATAGCTGTAAAACTAAGACCCTGATTAAGCACCATTGCTCCAAACTCACTGGTAGCAAACTATACTCAACTACTCAGGAATCTCAGAGATTATCCCAGAATTTGTTCCCAAAATATCTTGCTGTTGTTTTGTGAAGGGTGAGAAAGGCATGCTTCTAATCAGCTCATGGATTTATTTTTTTTCTTTTCTTGAGCAGAATTGAACAATATGGATGGCATCGAATTTCTTTTGCCACTCTTTGGTATAAACAGCAACAAAGTTATGGAAGACAATAGAAAACTTGTTTCAGACAGAACCATTTATTCAGGCCCTCAACATTATTGACAGTTCAGTGGCATTGTTCACCTGATCAATTGACCAGGTCAGGCTTTTATGCAATTTGGATTATATGTTTTGACCGTTTTTGATGGCAGTCTTGAATTATATGGCACTGAGCAAAGAGCCAGTGAAGTAATGAAATCCATGAGGGCTACTGTAGGCTCCACCATGGAAAAGCCGTCCATAAACCCTATCTCCTTCTTGAAGCTTGAGGATAGCAGATGTCAGTCCAATGCTGTTTGGCTGAGCAGTAGCAATAGCTCCATTTACACTATTGTAGTTCTTGATGAGGTATATTTCTGAGCCCCTGACATCAAAAACTGGCGCCCCCAAAAACTGCATGTGAAAGTGGTAGTAACCAGGTATTGTGACCTTGAACTCTCCAAGTTTCAAATTGAAGCCAGAGTTGACATCAGTTTTGAAGTTTTCAAAGTTTGGAACCTGTATAATTCAATCCATAATGTTAATTTGAGTTTTTAGGCTTTCAGCAACATCATCTGCTGCTGAAGCAGACATTTTGGAAATACTTGCATGATTGATGAAATTGAATGGCTTAGTCCTGAATACATGGAAGTGCATTGGAGTTACAGCTTTTCTTGGACCAGCTTCCCTCAAAAGTTTTCTTGCCTCTTTTCCTCCCTCCATATCACAGTACACCAACTTATACCTGAAATAAGTAAATCCATGCAACACATAGATAAGTCATATTAGAATATGGTGAGGATAAGTTTCACCCACTTCTTGTCATGTTTGATCCAGTGATACCCATTGATGTGCACACCAGCCCTGTATAAGTCCTCACAGTTTTGAAATTCTATTGCTGGATGAGAGGCTTGTCTTCTGCCTCTGCACCTCAATGGACTAATGGAGTGAGACACATGGATGTCAGAGTCCTCTTGAATGCCTCCAAAGAATAATTTAGTCAAAGGAAGCAGCTCCCTTTCAGTCAAACTCTGTGTGTGATGACTTTGTGGAAGAAACCAAGCATTTGAGGTGTTTCCTGGAGTAGGATTTGCCCACCACTGTGAAGTTTGGTTTTCAAAAGGCACTGCCACAAAGGTGCCATTTGTTTTACTCTGGACATGGAACTGTAAACAAAAGTTTTGAAGTTGTTATTCTTTACTGGATGTGGTAATGGATGATTTACAGTGACTTCTTGTTGACAATGTTCTGACAAATCAGCAAGAGCAGATATTTGATCTGGATGAATCTCATAGTTGACAGTCTTTGAGTAGCAGTCAGGGGTGTTGCAGGATTGGATTGGAAGGGGAATTTCTGCATCATGCCCAACCACAGTAAAACCTGTGAAAACATCAATGTCAAAGATTATCTAAATGAATGAATGTATTGTGTGCAGTGGGGCATCAACATAAGGACATCCTGACATGCAGACATTTCAACTTATGGACACGATGTTCAAAAAGCCTTCCTTATCATTTGTTTAATTACTCAAGAAATTGAGATTTTTCCAAAGTTTCCAGAAAAATGGAAGAATCTTATTTTAAAAAAGTAAATTTTAAAATAATATTTTTACTTTCAAAATTCTATTCACTTTCAAAATTGTATTTACAGTCAAAATTGTATTTACAGTCAAAATTGTATTCACTTCCAAAATTGTATTTACTTTCAAAATTGTATTTACTTTCAAAATTGTATTTACTTTCAAAATTGTATTTACTTTCAAAATTGTATTTACTTTCAAAATTGTATTTACTTTCAAAATTGTATTTACTTTCAAAATTGTATTTACTTTCAAAATTGTATTTATTTTCAAAATTGTATTTACTTTCAAAATTGTATTTACTTTCAAAATTGTATTTATTTTCAAAATTGTATTTACTTTCAAAATTGTATTTATTTTCAAAATTGTATTTATTTTCAAAATTGTATTTACTTTCAAAATTGTATTTACTTTCAAAATCTTTCAATCAAATCAAGCTATTTGCCATAGACCAGAAGTCAAAAGGAAGCTTATTTCAAATATACTCAAAATTTGTATTCCAAAACTGACAAATCTTGTGTTTGAAATACTGCAATACTGTATATGTTTCAATAGTGTGTTTTTGGCTCTCCGGAATCCATCTTATGCCAAAAGGCAGATTTGAAGTTGGCTTCTGCATGCAAGTTTTTTTGCATTTGTAAATCAAGAAATTTTTTCATTTTTTGTGGGATGGTAACAAAACACAAGATGCGATTTAAAATAATCCCATTGAAATCTGGGGGAAATTTTCATTGAAGAATAGAGGATGTTTCCATTTATGGGCACAGTCCGAGAAGTCAATATATAATGTCTGCATTTTATAGGGGCCCCACTGTATTCAACTATATTTACACAAATGATTACCTCCATCTTCATCCATGTCACAAAAGACAGAAACAGGATGATGATCTCCAAAAGGGCCATCAGGATCAATCTTGTACCTTCCAGAATCCCTGACACCCTTTCCATGCAAGTCATGGCATGTCTTTGGCACTTTAAGTGGAGATTATTAAAAAAAATATGAATGGCCAACAACATAATGGACTCACACTTGGGACTGTTGATGCTCTCCAAGAATTCAATCCTGGAAATGAGCTGTTGTGCAACTTCACTCCTTACACTCTCCTTCTCCTTCATTGAGGATAAAATTTCCTGAAGCTGGTCAGCCTTTTCAGAAAGTTTTTCCAGTACAGCAAGCTGTTGATCAGTTTTCTTCCCCATGTTTTCAGCTTTTTCCAGGAGTTCATTGATCTCCATATTGTCTTTATGTGGTGTCACTTGCTTTACATTATAATCATTGTGCACCTCTGATGAAGTGACAGAAAAATCACAGAGAAAAAGTACCAGAATCACAGATTTCATGGCTATGAACCTTTAATCTCCATATTGTCTTTATGTGGTGTCACTTGCTTTACATTATAATCATTGTGCACCTCTGATGAAGTGACAGAAAAATCACAGAGAAAAAGTACCAGTTAGTGTCTAAAGTACCGATACTTGGAAAACCGGTTCCCTTACAAAAGACGTAAGGAGACCTGAGGTCGAAAAGGAACTATTCGGTTTGGTCGACTACTGTTTGTGGACTCCCTTGTCGTTTCAGGAATGCTGAGAGTGAATTCCTGAGTCCTTTTTCGGACAAAAACGAATAAAAACAATCATCAAATTGTTGAATTACATCAGTACAGTACATTGAATAAATTGCATGTTGAGGAAATCATATATTCCTTGTGCAGCACCCAGGGCAGATAGAAATTTAGGTGTCATACTTTCTGAGCAAACTCCAGTTGAGATAAAAAAAAGTTTTGTAATCAATGGTCAATACTGTGGTCTCTTTTTTGTCTTCTGTGACCACAATTTCCAAAGAAAATAGGTTTCTTCAAAACGAAAATCCAAAATTTTGAAATTTAGATTCACACCCTAGTGGTAAAACCCATGATATTAAACTTCAAAATGGAAGGAAAACTTGATTTAAACGCCTGTGGATTTTTAAATTCTCATTTGTTGCCATATAAGGAAGCGTGCTGTGGATTCTTTGAATTTGAATTCGTTTGAATTTGAATTGGAATTCAAGTTAAAATTGGATCAAGAATTTTGTTTAAAAGACTGCGGTTTTCGAAATTTTTTTTGTTTCCGTGTAAGGAAGCAAACAAAATTGTTCCGGCATTTCTATGTGCTTCTTCGTGTGTGGGTTGCAGCACTGCTTTCGCACTCTACATGTGAAGGGGTTGGGAGCGCCATCTAGTTCAAAACAAAAAGCTTGCACCAAACTGTGCCGAACACGGTACCCAAGGATCGGGTTTTGTATTAAAAAAACTCTTCGAATATTCTAAGGAAAGAAGCCGCACACGCCCAAAAACCTGCTTTTCCTTTGGTTGAACCTGTTCTCTTTTTTCCGCGAACGAATCTATTGCGACATTTCCTGTGTATTGCAGTTCCCAGAAAGATTTTGCACGAACAGGATCTGCATGATGCATCCGTGAATATTATAATCAACCCAAAGATATGTGTATTTGGTGAATATCGCTGGTGTAATTGTGACGACCTTGAAAATTATTTTAGCTGGGTTGCCCGAGGAACTTATAAATTGTAACACTTATTTGAGTTCATTTTTTGAATTTTTTGAATGATGCTAATAATAAGAAGCGATGCCCAGTTCTAAATGGAAGAAAGAATTATTTTTCTATCGTCATGTTCAACATTTTTGGAACGCATTATTATGCTGTACTGTATTATAAATATTTCGGAATGCATCATATTTTTACAATTTTGTAATTCATAATCTATTTTTACAATTGTGGAATGCTGGATATACTATTTTAATACTTTTGGAATGCATATTCGGTTTTTTTCGGAAATGATATATACTTTTAAAAATTATAAATGCAATGAAATGTTCTTCATTTCTGCAGATCTTGCGAATGATGCAGAGTGTGCCGGAAGTGGAAGCATTCCTGATGATGGAGGTGCGCCATCTGCTGGCCCCACGGACAACTGTGCGAGTGTTGTCCTCGCTCCACCGACCGCTGCGCCCTCACGTCCGAAATTCCGTATTACCGCAGCAAAACACCGAAACCCTGATGCGAAAAGGTGATTTCTTTGATCCTCAGCTATAAATACTTTGCATGTGTGATTTTTTGTTTGTTAAACGTTTTCTCGATGTTACAGAAGAAATCCGCCATACGGCAACCTTTTTCTGAGTGGAGTGGACCATCTTTACAACATTCATTCGGGCAAAAAGTGCAAACGCTGCGACATAGTCTTCAATCTCAAGG